CAACCATTCTGGGGCTCATAGCCCACAATTTGAGACCATGGCTATAAATCATGGTTAAAACAAACCATTGCTTTTTTGTGAAACTCCCCTGCCTGCCTGCTTAATTCTCCCCGTCTACAACCAGCTCTGTCTGCTCCAACTTCAGCTGTGTAAGAAAAAGGGATTCACGCTTGCCAGCTGCAAAACCAAGTGGTTTTCTGCATGACTGCCAAGTCTAGTCACACTCTGGGAATTCCAAGGAAAAGTCAGACGGTTGTTTCAGCTCCCATTCCGCTGAAACAGAGGAGCTTTGATTATTCCAAGCCCCAAACCTTTGTTTCAAAAGCCCATCTTGCGTTTTTTTTTTTAAGCACCTGGACATCCTGAGTTGTACACATCGGTTCAAAGGGTTATTTGGTTTGCACCACAGGATACTCTGAATGATATTTTTCTTTCTGAGACCACCACCAAAAAGTCCCATGTTGCACAGAGTACATATCACAGGAGCCTTTTCAAAGTGTACTGTCTGTATTAATGACCTGTGTTTTTATCATTGCTTACAGCTGAATGAAAACACTTTTGTAGAAAGAGTTCTATCGGATTGTGTTCACAGAAGATGTAAAGTGGAAGGTCTCTTTCCCACAACACACAATCCTTAACCTTTTATTTGCAGAGCATTGACTTAATACTGGGGCAAACAATCCACAAACCCTGGGCCAGGTGCATCTCTTGAGCCTTTTGTTTTGAAGCTCCAGAGAGCGGTCACCACCTGGTGGTCCGTGAGAAAATTTTGGTGGTCCGCAGAAAAATTATTTGCATTTTTTATATTGCACTAAATCAGGAGTCCTCAAACTATGGCTCCTGGGCCGGATACGTGCAATGAACGCTTGAAAGAGTCTCCTGCTTCGGGGTCTTTTTGTGCAGGTTGGAGGGGGGCAGAAATTCTGACTTGGGGTCTGTTTCAGCCTCCTGGTGCAGGGCTTTGGGCAAAGGCTGAAGGGAAGTGTTGCTGGTGGCGAAGAGCTAGAGCCTTGTTCCAGTGGGACTATATCATGGCCTGGAACTGGCTGATTATCTCAGCCTGCTGAGCCTCCAGGCACCAGTACCTGGCCTTGAACTCCCACAGGTCTTCCCACTGCTCGGAAAGCCCATGCTCGTAGTCCTCAGTGAGGTGCTTCTGCTGAGCCTCCTTCTTGGTCAGATCCAATTTGAACTGAGCCAGCTGTTTTGCCAACTCTTTCTCGTGGTGGCTGCTCAGCTCCAGCAACTGCTTCCTGGTGGGGCCCTAAGGAGCCGGGAAAGGCAGGTGAGGAGTGGCTAGGAGGGGAAGGGCAAGTAGAGGCCGGCGAGGCGCACCTCGACATGAGTGACCATGGGCCATGCCCACCCAGCCACATGACTACCTAGACACACCAGTGGTGGGTTTCAAAATTTTTTACTACTGGTTCTATGGGTGTGGCTTGGTGGGCGTGGCTTGGTGGGTGTGGCTTGGTGGGTGCAGCAGGAGAAGAATACTGCAAAATCTCCATTCCCTCCCCAATCTGGGGAAGGTTACTGCAAAATCCCCATTTCCTCCCAATCAGCTGGGACTTGGAAGGCAGAGAATAGATGGGGGCGGGGCCAATCAGAATTTTTACTACCGGTTCTCCGAACTACTCAAAATTTCCGCTACTGGTTCTCCAGAACTGGTCCAAACCTGCTGAAACCCACCTCTGAGCCATACCCACCCAACCGGTAATTAAGCAGATCATACTAGTGGTTCACAGGATTTAAAATTATGAATTTAGTGGTTCCTGAGGTCTGAAAGGTTGGGGACCCCTGCTCCGGAGGGCTGCAAAAAGATGCTTTGAAGCATCTAGATCAGTGATGGGGATCTAGATGCTTCCATGCTGGCTCAGGAATTCTGGGAGTTGAAATCCACAGGACATTAAAGGGCCATAGTTCCCCACCTCTGATCTAGAAGCAAGAGCATCACACCTGTCTGCTACTTCTTAAAACTATGATGTCTTTTCCCCAATTAACCAGGTTCAACCGGTTCAAAGAGTTGCCCAAAGCTATGTCTCAGGGAACCTCCAAAGCCGCTTTCTGCTTTCAGATCCAAAGTCTTGCAGAACCCTATTTTAAATCCCTCCAACTCCTCCCAGCCAATTATTTTGGCCCCATCCATTCATATGATATCACTATATCACAAGCCATGTAGTACTGTGGTGATCCTTGGAAAGGGTTTTTCCTCCTCTCCCTTTTTATTTGGGGGTGGGGTGGGGGTGGGAGAGGAGCAGCCTTGGCCATTAAAAGTTACCTACTGTATCCCCAGCCTAGCGTATTTGTGAAACCAATCAGTTGCAGTGTTCAGCCAGGCACAAATATTCTCTGCCTTAACACATGTTTCCTTGCTTCTCTACTTTCACTCGGAAAACCTATCCTTCCCTTTGGGGCTTCCTGTTAAGGATGAATCACAGGGATGTCGCGGCAACTGACGTGGATGACACACTTGGAAGAGGAGCTATTTTGCTGTGCATCTTTGCAAAGCCAACTGTCCTCTGAGAAAAGTAGTCGTGCCATCTGCTCCTGAGAAAATAATGGCATTATCTAAGCCACGCCAGTGCCAAATTCCACTGCAGCTGTTATAAAAACCACAGACTATTAAGAACTGGCAACCATTTTTTTGGCTTTTTCCCTCCCCATTCCTCTTTCTTCCTATGGTGTGTCTTTTTATACGGATAAGCCCAAAGACTGCTTTTCACTACTGCAGAAGCCATGATGGCAATGGTTTAGGTGAAAGGGTGGGCTACTGAAGCTTTAACTAAGTATTAAGCATCAAAGTTGGCAGGAATAGCCAACGCTCTAGAAGATAGGCTTAAGATACAGAAGGATCTTGACAGACGTGAACACTGGGTCCTATCTAACAAAATGAAATTCAATGGTGAAAAAAGTAAGGTTCTACAGATAGGTAGGAAAAACCAAATGCACAGGTACAGTATTGGTGGTACTTGGCTCAATAATAGTATCTGTGAGATGGATCTTGGAGTCTTACTGGACAATCACTTAAATATGAGCCAGCAGTGTGCTGCAGCTGCCAAAAAAGCCAATTAATGTTAATACCACTTTAGAATGGCTTTGGTAAGGCCACACTTAGAATACATCCAGTTTTGGTCACTATGATGTAAAAAAGATGTTGAGACTCTAGAAAGTGCAGAGAAGAGCATCAAAGTTGATTAGGGGACTGGAGGCTAAAACATAGTTGCTGAAATTGGGTATGTCTAGTTTAATGAAAAGAAGGACTAGGGGTGACATGATAGCAGTGTTCCAATATCTCAGGGGCTGCCACAGAGAAAAGGGAGTCAAGCTATTCTCCAAAGCACCTGAGGGTAGGACAAGTAGCAATGGATGGAAACTAATCAAGGAGAGAAGAACCTAGAAGTAAGGAGAAATTTCCTGACAGTGAGAACGATTAATCAGTAGAACAACTTGCCTCTCGAAGTTGTGAATTCTCCAACACTGGAAGTTTTTAAGAAGAGATTGAACAACCATTTGTCTGAAATGATATAGGGTTTCCTGTCTGAGCAGGGGGTTGGACTAGAAGACCTCCAAGATCCCTTCCAACTCTGTTATTCTGTTATTCTGCGCTTCAAGGTGTTGGTTACCACCTTTAAAGTGCTCCATGGCTTAGGACCTGGTTATCTAGAGGACCGCATTCTGCCACCGATTGCCTCCCACTGACCAATACGCTCCAACAGAGAGGGCCTCCTCAGGGTGCCGTCGGCCAAACAGTGTAGGCTGGCGACCCCCAGGGGGAGAGCCTTCTCTGTGGGGGCCCCGGCCCTATGGAATGAACTGCCCCCGGACATACGAAGGATCCCTGACCTCCGTGCCTTCCGTCACGCTCTGAAGACCCTATTATTCCAGCAAGCTGGACTGACAGGATAAAGGTTTTTTAAATTGGGTTTTGATAGGGGTTTTAAAATGATCTTAGTTGGATGTTTTAAATTTGGCTGAATGATTGAATTATTTTAATAAGCTTTTAATTTTTGTTGTACATTGTTTTTACCATGGCTGTTCACTGCCCTGAGTCCCTCGGGAGAAGGGCGGTATACAAATATAATAAACTAAACTAAACTAACTAAACTAAATACGGGAAACAGCCAGTCTAACTGTCCCATATTGGATAAGACTTAATTGTGCAAACCCACACAGAATTAGCCTCTGCCAAAATTGTGAGTCATATTGATACACCCCAGGCATTACTTCTCCTGTGTATAGGGATCTTTAATTGTTTAAGTTCTGTCTCATGGCACCGAATTTAGGAACAACTCTCTTTTGATTGACTCAGCAATGTCCTCGCTAATATCCAGATGCCAGATGGTTAATGCTGTTCTAACCATCTTCTTCCCCTATTTTCTCTTTGGCCTGTTATGCCCCAGTTCTTTCTCTGGCAAGTGACAGTAAATCAATATAGAAGACATTGGAAAAAATTAGCAAATGAGTATTGCAGACCGTACCTACTCATCCTGGCCCAATTCACAATGAAAACCCAATGAATCTGTTAGCTCTGGGTTATAATTTCATATACTTAAAACACAGATCAACTTTGAAGACTTTTTTTTTTTTAATGGAAAAAACCATCCCCCAGGTTACAAATTCAAAATTTGGGTGTTTGGCAGCTGGCATATATTTTACGATGGTTGCAACATCCCAGTGATTGCCATCTGCAACCTGCCTAGCCAGCTTCTGCCAAAAAAAGTCAACGGGGGCATCTGGATTTGCTTAAGCATCACCTGATTCATTTAACAACTGCAGAGATTAGTTTAACAATTGTGGCAAAAAAAAAAAAAAAATTTGGGCACTGATTTAAAATTGCCTTGCTTGGCAATGGAAATTCTTCTCTCAGTTGTAAGTTGTATTAGCAAAAAACTGCCTTTTTTTTTCTAAGTTCAAGCCATCTAAATCACTAAATATTTGCAGTTTGGGGAAATAAATCGTACCTTGATAGAAATACTAACAGCGATAGAAATGGAACAGAATTCTGCATTCTTCTGTATTTTAATAGTGATTTCATTCTGCAAGAACAGGTCAGTATCACAGCAACAGAAGGGGGGAAAAACGGGGTCTATGGGGATGAAAGTCTGCAGAAGCATAAAAGGTATTATTTTTATAATTCTTTCTTTATATTGTCTTTCTTTTTTCTTAATCCATTCTTTTACACTCCTGATAGCGAAAACTCCCTTTTAGCAGAGCTGCTCAGATGTCATGTAATTTTTATTAAAATTAAAACACATGGATTTTAGGATTTTTTTAAAAAAATGCTGAGGAACAATGCAGTTGCTTTACAGGAAACACATGGTCAGTTTTATTGGAGCAAAAAAGTCACATAAGGACTTAGGGGAATAGGCAATGGGTGGCCTTCCAGATGTTAGCCTGCAGCTGCAATCTTCTTTTACCGGCTAAGACTATGTAAAGTTGGAGTTTAACATCTGGAGAAAACATGCCCCAACCCTAAGCTAGACCAGCCAATACTGTGTCTAGATACTATTGACTGCAAAGCTGGAAAATGAATGAGGAAAAAAAAAAGAGCCAATTTCCATAGACTGAACTGATTTGGGCTTTTTATGATGTTTATACAGCACCTCCATCCATTTTTCATTTTACTGTGGCTTTCTTCCAGGTTGTGTGTAGAGCAGGATTTCTCAACCTAAATTGATGGATGGGGAATTCTGGGAGTTGAAGTCCACATATCTTAAAGTTATGAAACACTGATGTAGAGCTTCGTTCTCCATTCATGGTCCTTGGTAGCCAGTGGTCAGGTGATTAAACTGTAGTCCAAAATAATCTGGAGAACAACCAGCCCAGGGAAGGCACCCAGGTTAATGTCAAGTATTGCTGCTTTAAAAGAAGGACAAATATAATAAGAGTATTGTAAGATTTGGCAGGAGGAAATAGAAACATGAAGCACATATACCGTTGCTTGCATCATTACGTTTTCTGCATCTTTTTTTAATACAATGTCCATAATTTGTCACCATCACAGAAGCTGGTAGGGCTGAAGGCTGTTGAACTCCCAAATCCAATGAAGGGCACCAACCTGCCATCTGTTGAAATATCTGCAGTGTCAAATCCATGGTCCACATAGCACAAGAATGTGATGCCTGTGGCCTTCCAGATGCTGTTGATTTTCAAATTCTATCAACTTTGGCCATTACTTATGCTGGTTTGGGTAAATGGGAACTCACCCAAAAAACAGTGGAGCTAGCTAGGGGAAGGAAGATACATCTGGAACTCCTGAACACAGCTATTTGTTGATTTTATTTTTTAAAAAAATCTTCCAATAGAAAAAAAAATACAAATTAAGTCTTTTTTTTAAAAAAAAAACACCCCAAAATATCCAGGCCATATAAGGGTATCCTCATTTCTTGTTTATGTATATATATATTTTTCTTCCATTTTTACTTCAACATCCTCAGAGATTCAGGCTTTACCAGCTTCCTGGAATTTCTTCAGCAGAGGTTCACCTTCTCGGACAGCAAAGGTCAAAGGGCACTTCTGATAATACTGGGAGTCCAGCTCCAGATGATACATCACATCGGAAAGCAGGAGGGCCCGCTCCGCAGAGCACCCTGGTGCATCGTAGCTCAGGGCAGTGAAATGCACATGAAAGTGGAAATAGGATGGCTGGTAATGCAAGTAAACCCGCAGCTGGGCCTTTGCAAGGCCAAAGCGCTTTTGTATGGCCTCCTAGAAGAAATGGACAATAAGTTAACGATCATATTGAAAATGGACAGCTACTTAGCAACCACTTTGCTTAATGACCAAGTTGTTGGTCCCAACTGTGACTTGCTAAACAAGGACTACCTATAACGCAAAACATAGGATAAATAACAAAATGTATCAAATGAGGCATGGTAGAAAGAAAGCGGATTTATTTATTTATTTATTTATTTATTTCATTTTCTAAACCAGAGGTCTTCAAACTTGGCAGCTGGCTGTAGAATTCTGGGAGTTGAAGTCCACAAGTTTTAAAGCTGCCAAATTTGAAGACCTCTGCTCTAAACTCTGGTATCTCAGATCATTCCCTGAAGGCCAACATATGGTGGAATTTATTTCTGCTATCCCCACTGACAGTTAACTGGGTTGCTTTAAATGCCTACAATAACCACTAGGTCCGTGATGGCAAACCTATGGCACGCATGCCACCATATCAGTGGGCATGCGACCTCAGCTCAGGTCCCACCGGAAATTGTCGAACAGGGCATTTTCGGCCTCCAGAGGACCTCCGGGGGGGGGGGAAGAGGCCGTTTTCACCCTCCCCAGACTCTTAGAGACGCTCTGGAGGCTGGGGACAGCAAAAAAACGGGCCTTCCGGTCCTACCAGAAGTTGTTAAACGGGCCATTTTCGGCCTCCAGAGGATCTCCGGGTGGGTGGGTGGGGAAGGCCGTTTTCACCTCCCCAGGCTCCTAGAGAGGCCCTGGAGTCAGGCGAGAAAGAAAAATGGGCCTACCGGGCCATTGCATGCCAGGAGCAGGGGCAGGAGGGGAGGGTCACACACGCATGCGCGGGGCATCTAGAATTATGGTTGTGGGCATGCACCCGCATGACCCTCCTGCCCCCCCTCCTGGCACACAATGGCAAAAAGGTTAGCCATCACTGCACTAGGTAGTTATTTCTATTTCTCTCTATTATTTCAGAAGGAACATAAAAGAGAGAATAATTATGTCCTTGTGTGTCCTTTTGGTTGCCCATCCTGGAAACTGCATTTCAAACCGGATAATCTTTGGCCTGATGCAAAAGCTATTGTCATAGTAAGCAGAAGGTTGTTTTTTAAAAAAATAACTCTGCTATCTGAGCACATCACTGTGTCTAACTCATCCTGGACTCTGATAAGAATCAGAATTGCCCTCGTTAAGAAAGATAATTCCTTGCAGTAGATTTTCCCAGCCTGGTGCATTCTGGGTATGCTGGCCCTAAACTCCTCACCAGCACAGGTTGTCAGAGAGAATCTACTCATTGTGAACTGATAGCTCTTGTTTGTTTCTCAGAACTTCAATCTACTCCTAACTACATGCAAGCATTGTACAGAAATGTCATCGGCTCTCCTTCCATTTCTTAGCGTTTGAACCCAATTGTATTAGTTTTTCTCCTCCCATCTGTTCTGGTGTTTGCTTATTTGCCAACTGCCGACCAAATTAAATACAGGCAGTTAAGTGCTTTGGAAACTTTTAGGCATGGTTTCCGAAGCAGTCCAAGGAGAACAACTGGCTCACTCTCACATCTCCTCTTCAAACCACAACATTACGCTTTTGCAACCTATTGTGGTTACTATGGCAGGTGCACTGAGCTCAAGGGTCTACCACAGGTAATTGTGCAATAGGACCATTTTTGCAAAGCAGATCTGTGCACCTCAACAGGGACTGCATTCTGCCTGCAGCAGAGCTGACTCTTAAACAAGCAGGGGGAAAATTGCAGCTGCCCATGGGATTGGAAGCCGCTTCCCCCAGATTTTCCATTTGGGCCCATGCTCGCCGGGCACAATGCCATCCCATTCTGAAAAGACCTCTCTGCAACATCTGGTCCCGAAGAGACGCATTTCGTTTTTCCAGTTCTGCCTGGCATCGGCCAATTCATCGCAAGGGAAAAATAATTCTGCCCAGAAGAAGATGAGGAAGAGGCAGGGGACAGCTGAGGGAAGAGGTGCAGACAATCAACTAACAAAGGAGTTGCTATAAAGTGACGATGTGCCCCATAAGCAACGAGTTGAATAAATTCAACATGAAAACTCCACAATAAATTACATAGACGGCATACATCCTCTGATCTGCCAGCCGCAGCTTCGCCATGCTGATCTAATAAGAGGCAATTCTGTTGCTGTCATGAAACATTTTCTCAGAATTTCTTCGGAAATGACTAAGCAGTTTGAGGGAAGAGATGTAGGATTTCCTCCCCACACCCTGGAATTTCCCTTTCATGGACTGGGTGCCAACGGGGAGCTAACTCATCTCTACCAAAAAGGAGAGGATTGAACTGATGTTGTACTGCTTATGTTAGGGGTAAAACAATTCATAGTTTTTATTTAAAAAAAAACTAACAAGGAAAAAGGAACCTATTTTGAAAGATTTATAACAGGGTAAAGCACCTGAGGGTGAAGAAAATACATTACACTGCTAATATTCATCACTTTCTTTGTGATTAAAAACATTTCCCAAGTTAGACTGACATTTAAAAATAAATCTGAAGCATTCTGTGTCTTGCTTAGTTTCTTACAGATCTACATGAATGCTCTTGCGGATCAGGAAATAAGAGCTAGGAAGTTCTAAATATGTTATTTTTTTTCCTAGAAATGGAAAAAAAACAACAGTGGCAAAAGAAGAAGGCCTCCCCCCCCTCTTCATTTTCTCTCAAAAACACAAGACCATTGCAGAATTGCAATGGAATTATAAATTGTGAATTATGCTCTCATTAATTCGCAACCTTGGATATCTGCAGGGAAAATGCTATTTTGAAAATCATTGTCAGAGTTTCTCTAATTGCGAGCTAATATTGTACGTAAGAGAAGGCTACTCAGTTTCAGCAACACAACAAGAATCTGGGATGATCAGGAAACTTAGAATTAGAAGATCCAAAACCTGGTTGAAGTGAAAGAGATACCGACCCCTCCTTCTTTCAAGATGTTTCTCAGCAAAGGGAGATGCTCAGCCGTAAGATCTCTCACTGACTTGATTCCCCTGCGGTGGCAGATTGCGATCAAGTATAGATCCTCAAGCTGTAAATACAGAACAAGGCTGGTGAAGTCAGAGGTACAATTAAATTCTTTTCACTTTTCGCATTGGTCAATCCTAAAGCAACATTAACTTTTTCCCCCTGTAAAAATGATCTACAAATTACTAGATCAGTGATGACTAACCTGTCAGCGTTCCAGAAAACCCCCATATTAGGCAGGAAGCTTCAATGCTGCCACCTCCTCATGTGTGGGAAAGTAGGAGGGGTTTTTTTCAGATTCGGGATTTCCCAGATGTGCCAGTTTACCTATTTCTAGTAAAGAGAACTTCGGAAAATGCCTGCTTCTGTGTCTTTACTGGGAGTCGGGGGTTTTCTGGAACACTGACATTATCCCGAATCTGAAAAAAAAACCCTCCTACTTTCCCACACATGAGGAGGTGGCAGCATTGAAGCTTCCGGCCTAATATGGCTTCCAAGGCTGACATAACCTTTTTGCCATTGCATGCCAGGAAGGGGGCGGGGGAGGTTCATGTACATGTGTGCCCACACCCATAATTCTATGCGCCCTGCCCTGCGCACACAATCCCCCTCCCCCCCCCGCTCCTGGCACGCGATGGCCCGGTAGGCCCGTTTTTCTTTCTCACCTGGCTCCAGATCCTCTCTATGCATCTGGGGAGGGCGAAAATAGCCTTCCACACCCCCTCGGGGGCCCTCCGGAGGCCCAAAATGGCCCATTTCCCAACTTCTGGTTGGACAAGAAGTGACCTTTTTTGCTGTCCCCAGCCTCCAGAGCCTCTCTAGGAATCTCTCTCTAGGAATGACTGGAGACAGCAACAAACGTCACTTCCTGTCCAACCGGGAGTTGGGAAATGCGCTGTTTCAGGACTCTGGAGGGTCTCCGAGGGGGTGGGGAAGGCTGTTTTCGCCCTCCCCAGATGCATAGAGAGGATCTGGAGCCAGGTGAGAAAGAAAAACGACCCACCCACCCCCTGGGCCCTCCGGAGGCGGGAAACAGCTTGTTTCCTTATTTCTGGTGGGCCCAAAAGGCCCGAAAATCAGCTGGCCGGCGCACACATGCACGCTGGAACTGAGTTGGCGTGCCCACTGATATGGCTACGTGTGTCCCCTGTGGCATGTGTGCCATAGGTTCGCCATCACGGTACTAGATAGAAGTAAATTGTAGCTTGCAAGAAGTGGTATGTGTAAGAGTAAAGAAGCAATAAAAATACAATTAAAAGTGAGGAATGAATAAAGTTAAAATGCTGGAAATAAATTCAGTCATGAATGTAAACAGATTGTACATATTACAAACTTTACACATACTGATTTCTGATATACCGAAGATCACTGAATTGTATCTCAAATGTATCTTATCTACTGTGGAGTCTGAAAGGAAGCTAACCAAGTCAAATAAAACTTCCTGAAATGCACATTAAAAACAGTAACATCATCAAACCCAAAAGACAATGAAAAGTATAATGGTTGATCTAAATCCTTCTTTACATGACTTAGATTTTTAAAGCAGGACGTTGTTTTTCAAGATCATGACACTCCGCTATGTTCCTGGTAAATTTGATACACCAAATTTAAACTGGGTTTTTTTTTCACGGATGTCACTTTTTAACCCCATGACAATACAGGAAATTGTGAGAACAAAGGAGCTGCCTTGTTGGTTCCAGAACAGAAAATATTACTATTTCATGTGGCACATTGTGTGGATCTTGGTGTGTAATTGACAATACAACTCCATTGTATTCAGTTTGCTAGAGTAAGAATTTGGTGTCTTGCAACTTTAAAATTTGAGTTTACTTCTCATTCCCTTTGCAGTGTCCATTATCTTCTGCCAACAGCTATGGACAGGCTATGCTGGTGTGATCCAGCAAGAAAATATTGAAACAAAGAATTAATTGTAAGCTCACAAGCATTATGGTGGAAAAGCACAATTATTTCATACAAGTTTTACATGCCTAAGGCAATTTGGTAGACAGATAAAGCAGTTTCATTGCACCGATTTTGAACTCTGATCTTGTAAATGGGAACTCTGAAAAAGAACATTTATCTATAGATGGCTGAGCTACGTTTCTTGATTTCTGTTCTGTTCAGAACAGGAAGCTCTATAAAAAGGCATGAAGTTGATGCATATTTAAAATGAGGATGAGCTGAAATTTCATGACTTTACAAACCAGAAAACGCCTTCCGAAGAAATCACATATAAAAAAACCTCACAGCCTTACTTATTAAAATTAGTTCATTAAAAATTACAGAGTGGCAACCAAAACCATCTATGTTAAAGTACACCATCACTCTTTCAGTTCAGTAGGTGACACATAAATCATGGTTTGTTTGACCAAGGTTTGAATAAGCCACAGATGAACAGAGTTCACAGCCAGCGTTCACAAATGGGTGAACACAACAAAAGGAGGTTAAAAAAACTCCCTATATTATAACAATAAACCCATGTATGGAATAATCATAGTTCTCGGGAACTGGGCAGTATATAAATTTAATAAATAAATAAGTGTAAGGAAATAGGCCTGACATCCCAAAGGATCTATATTTGGGAAGCAACATAAAAAGATTGATTTTTTCCCCCAACAACAAAAAGCCACATTCTAAAAGCTTATGATGTCCCAGTATATCTTCTGTTAATGGCCTTTACTAACTTCACCATCAAAGAGATGTACAGTAAAGCAAAAAGCTTGGTTACAATGAATTCTTTTTATAAATTGCTTTTTAAACTAGTTGGTGTTTCCGAACATGGCAAAGATTTTTAAGGCATCTGTTCTTTCGTATAAAATCTTATAGCAAGGGACCAGTTGCTAGGGGAACAAGATATATTTGGTGAATTAAAAAGCGTGGCCTGAAGGTCGAATAAAAAAGTTTTTACAAACCCAATCACCAAGGGAGATTGGTACAAGATAAGTAAAAATGAAACATTGCATTCATTACAGAGTGCGAAGAATTTCAAGCTTCTAATTTTAGTCATTGTCTTGGTTTTCACACAGGGTGCTTAAAGCAAGGCTGGTAACTACTTTGAAGACATCCTAACAGTTCTCCAATTCTATTTCATCTTAGTTACATGTATTAATCTAGAAGTGTCAAAATCCTGTGTGCTGGGCCATGGCTGGAAAAATCCTGTGGCTGGCCATGGCTGGTATGTCAGAAGCAGTGGTGAAATCCAAATTTTTTTACTACTGGTTCTGTCGGTGTGGCTTGGTGGGCGTGGCTTGGTGGGTGAGGCAGGGGAAGGATATTGCAAAATCTCCATTCCCACCCCACTCTGGGGCCAGCCAGAAGTGGTATTTGCCGGTTCTCCGAACTACTCAAAATTTCCGCTACCGGTTCTCCAGCACCTGTCAGAACCTGCTGGATTTCACCCCTGGTCAGAAGCATTTCAGAGACTTCAGGTGCATCAAATGCATCTTGGACCCACAGAGGCTTTTGTAGAGAAAGGACTCGGTTTTGCACGCTGTTCTAAACCAGTTGTGGCTCCTTTGACAAACCATGTTTAAAGAAATTGTGGTGTTGATACAACCTGTAACCCAACCAAGGGGACTTTCGTTTTATCAAGCAGCAAAAGAGGATGTGAGAGGCTTGAAACTTTTCTGAGGTCAGGAAAAGCAACCTATTCTCCAAGAGCCGGTCTTACTTGCAAAATAGCAACTCTTCCTTCAAAGAGTGTTTTTTTTTACCTTACCTGTTTTTGATTCCATTTAAAATCTGGAATGAGAACAAAACCGTTGATGGTATCTGGATTTTCATACACAATTCGATCAGCTTCAGCTTTCTTCTCCAGGATGTTGTATACCCACTAGAAAAAGATAAAATGCATTTATTTATTTATTAAATGTATATGCTGCCCAAGCGACAAATTAATTGCTTAAAATCAGATTGACCTCATGCAATGCATATCTCCAAGCCGGGCTGTTATTTTAATTTGTTCTTTGCTCACAGAAATTTCATTTTGAGTTCTGAAATACAAAATGTCACTTGAATTCCACAAAGAACAACATTAGTTTCCTAACTAATGCAAGCTACAGTTCATTGACCTGAAAACAATCAAATATCGTGTCAGAGCCGAGGTCAATCTTGGAGAGGAAACAGAATTATTTTCATCTTCATCCCCACTGCATTTCTAGCCAGATGATTGAAGAAATAGGTTTTCTTTTTTTTCTCCAAAGTGAATCATACCCTGTCACTTCTGAAAGCAAAACACTCGATTTAATCAACGCTTAGACACATAAAATGGCAGCACTTCCGAAGAACACTGGCACAACCTCCCACATAAAAAGGATAATGGATTTGCCATGAAACTGACTGCAATGAAGCAAAACTAGATTGGGAAGTAGGACAAGGAAAAGAAATCATGTACAAAATGATACAACTTTCAAATTTCTTTAGGCATCGAACTGTCCCTTATTTTTTAAATTTTTTTTTACTAATATTTGTACAAAATTCAAGGCCATAGCGCCCATTGGGGAAACGTTAGGCCAGGAAGCCCCAAATTAATTCCAGGGTGAATCCAGGAGCACCTTTTAAAACTATAGGGCTCTCTTGAGCCTTATAAAGTCAGCTTCAAATGGAGTGGCTTATGAGCATCGTAAAATAAATAAATCAGAATAAAAGGAAGTTGTCTGCTGAGGCTCAGCATGATTCGGGCCCCCTCAGGGGCAGCTTTTGACACGAAGAGCACTTGGAAGGAAGAATTTAGAAATTTAGTACACCAGAAACTGCTGTACTTGAACATTTGAAACCATCATTAAGTCTTGCTATTTAACTCCAGGGTGCGTGAGATATTTCTGCGTAAGTCTGCCCACATGGAACACACCAAGAAGTTATGCCAGTCGCATGACTTATAATAGGATGGAAGCATTTTAAGGAGGATACGAGATCTGGTGTTTGACAGACTGAGGTGCTTTGCACAACAAATTCCTTTTCACAAAATCAAATGTCAGTTGGACTGTATCACAACTAGGGACTTGGCTTGGCTGGAGGAAGTATTTTGTTTTATTTCATTTTTTATGTATGTATGTATGTATGTATGTATGTATGTATGTATGTATGAATGTATGTGTGTGTGTGTGTATGTGTGTGTGTATATATATGTATATATATATGAAGAAAAAATCAAGGCACGTTTGGAGCACGCAAAGCAAATTGTGCTGCCAGATACAAGAAAGAAAAAGGCCAGACGCTTGCAGCTGTACATAATTACAAACATATCACAATGACACATTTGACGGTGCAAAAATCTCAAATAGGGTTGCACTCTGTGAACCTCTGCTAAAGCCCTGCTGTTCTGTTCCAATTCTCACACTTCAAATGAAAGGAAATTCTATGTCTTTTTCTTTCAAGGAGTGGATTGCCTAAAAAAGAATTCTGTGCAGCTTGGGGGGGGGGGACTCAGATGGTGAGCCAACAGAAAAGGCACTATTCTATTCCTCTCATCTGCCTTATTTCAAGTTATATACAAACCATTAATCATGGTTTCAAACAAAGTTAAAACAGTCCAACCAGAAACACTGGATGCTTAAGCTTTGTAATGTAATAAGCCTAGAGCTACCATCAGAGGTGAGCTGCTGCCGGTTTGTAGAACTGGATGTTAAGGATCTGCGTAATTCGGCGAATCGGCAAATCCCACTTCTGGCTGGCCCCGCCCCACCCCGCCCCTCCCAGCTGTCCCTTGCACCCCGTTTTCACATCCAGGGTGGTGCTGGGACGCCTAGCAGGCCCAAAATGGGGTGGGGGGTGTCATGCCCCCCCATGCCCTGTTTTCACTTCCAGGGTGGTGCTGGGAGGCTAGCAGGCCAGGGGTGGGTTCTACTTACCTTTACTACCGGTTCACAACGGGGCCGCGCGTGCACTCCCTTTGCTCTCTCGCGTGCGTGCGCTTCTGCTATAGAACAGGTCTGAACCAGGGGCAACCCACCACTGTAGCAGGCCCAAAACGGGGCGGGGCGTTTTGGCTGCCAGAAAACTGTGGGGTGAGTTTGAAATGGGGATTTTGCATTATGATTGCTCATAAGTAAGTAGGAACCAGTAAAAGAGGAATAGAAAAATCCCTATCTGTAGATCAGCATTTTTCAGTCTTGGCAAGTGTAAAATGGACCAACTTCATGCTGCCTGGGGAATTCTGGGAATTGAAGTCCATGCACCTTAAAGTTGCCAAAGTTGAGAAGCATGGGTCTACATTAGAGTTTAGGATTTTCCTTAACAAATAGTGATTAAAGCGATATGAACCATTACTGGACTTTTTGTGAGAAACTGAAATTAAAAGTTGATCTGGGCTTTGGTAATTAGATATGGGATTCTGGAAATAATGTAGACAAATGTTAATCTTAGAGTAAGAGTTTGATATATTTTGTACTTATATCTGTACCAAAGGAAGTTAGAAATCATTCTTTTTTGGTTTTCCTTCTTTTCCTCTTTCTTTCTTGCACTTTCACTCTTTTTCTTTCCTGAGCCTTTTCTTTTTTCAAATCTGTTTTTTATTTGTTTATCCCTTAGCTTTGTATTTTTTTGATGTATGAAGGATCAAATACTCAGCCATTATAATTCTACATTCCTTATTTACAGAAATAGTATCAAAATTTAGAATGAAATCCACCGGGATCCATCTCATATAAGGCAGCTCTGAGTCCCTCTAACCAAAAATTGTTTATCGATAGAAGAGAATATTTGTAGCTCAGGGTTGAACTGCAGATGTTTCATTACTGTAGAAAGTTAGCACCCACCCCTGTCCTAGAAGAATGAAATATTCTAGGAAATATTAAAAAGGCAGAATATCATAGCTCCCTGGATGAGAAAAGGAGAAACATGCGCTTGGAAAGCAGCCCCCACCTTTGTTGATCACCCCAGCAGATATTTTGGTGCCAACCTATCTGCAAGACAAAAGGTTAAGCCAGTTCATCTACAAAACAAAAGAACCTCACCCTCAGGACATGATAGGATTAGCCCTCTACCCAGCTCACTACATGGCACCAACAAAGCCCATCATTGCATCAGAATCATGACCCATGACCCCACATGGGAGCTTACAACCAATCAGGATACTTGCCCTTGCCCCAGGAACAGGAAGCAAGGTCATAGCCCAAAAGAGGGTATAAATCTATCCTTCTCTCTCACCCATGTGCTCATTTTGCCCAGGACCAAACCATGTGGTCTTGTCCGCTATTAAAACCATCCTTCCAAGCAGTCTCCATGTTTCCAGTGTCTTTCTCCCCACTTGAACTGAACCCAGATGGATGTTTCTTCCAACATTACCAAACTAAGTAACATCATCAGTACTAGAACGGAGTGGAGTTTGCTCTTATTTTCCTATACTAGTGGCTTACCCTGTCAGTATTGATCAGTTGATTCACAAACAATGTTTTGATTGGTGCCAGATCTCTACAGCCTCAGGCAGAAAAGGCTATTCTGCACCCCTCCCTCAAATGTTCTTTAAAATACGGAGTTTCCCAGCATTCCTTTAGGAACCTCCAACATGCAAACTGTGGTTACTCATCTTAAAATGAATCCTCTTTACCTGGAGCTTCAACATTTGCTGTTTGCTAGGAAGATGTGTAGCTAAAAGTCAGTCTATATTTAGTGTACATCTGACTTTGGGGATATTTCTTCCTAACCAAGCAAAAGTGTATTTTCTGTGCAGTTCACACCCCTTGCTCACTGGATCTGGATGTCACAAAGCAAAGCCCACATTTTGTAATTAACCCCTGTGCCCCGTTTTGACTGGCAGAGTGCTGCAGGAGGCTGAGTGCTGTCACGTCCCTGGCCACGCCCGCCCACCCAGTTATTAGGGCACAGAACAGGTTGTTAAAAAATTTGTAGCCCACCACTGGCTACCATTATTTAGGCTCCAAAAATCTAAATCATCCCCACCAACACTGAGAGGGCAAGCCACCAGAAGATAAACTGACAGCAAACAGCACTCCTTACTAGCACTGATGATGTTACCTAGTTTGGGTCATGAAGCGCCTGCAAGAAAACAAGCAAGATCAGAGAGCACCAAGGATCCCTCATGTCAGCCGAGTGGGACACCTTGCCAACAGCCAACTCACTGTGGTCAACTCACCACAATCAACTTGTCACAGCCAATTAACTGCAGCCAACTCGCTGCAGGACAACTTGCCACGGCCTACTCACCACAAGACAACTTGCCGTGGGATAATTGAATAATTCAATGTAATTATTTAAAATAAATAAAGAAATATTTTCATTTTTCTCATTCACATTTCATTCTGTCCCTCCTTTTGCATCCCTTCTTTAATGATTCTCTTCCATCATTTCTTTGATATTAGTGTAACTCTAATATCCCACAGCGAGTTGTCCCATGGCAAGTTGGCCATGGCGGGTTGGCCACAGCAATTTGGCTGCGGTGAACCTGAGCTACAAATATTCTCCTTCATCTAAATGTCCGCCGATTTTCATCTGCTGGTTATCTGGATTTTTACATCCCAGAGAAGGGGCACAGTGGCAACTGCAGCTAATTATAATTAGAAACTGATTAAAGGAAACAGAATTATTTACTCTAACCCTATAACCTAAGGGAGCAGATAAATTAAATCTCACGGCATATACAGGTCTTTGAAAGTAGACTGTTTTACCCAGTAATAAATGAATAAATAAATAAAAGGGACACGGTGGCTCAGTGGCTAAGACATTGAGCTTGTCGATCGAAAGGTCAGCAGTTCAGCGGTTTGAATCCCTAGTGCCGCATAAAGGGGTGAGCTCCCGTTACTTGTCTCAGCTTCTGCCATCCTAGCAGTTCGAAAGCATGTAAAAAATGCAAGTAGAAAAATAGGGACCACCTTTGGTGGGAAGGTAACAGCGTTCCGTGCGTCTTTGGCGTTTAGTCATGCCGGCTACATGACCACGGAGACGTCTTCGGACAGCGCTGGCTCTTCGGCTTTGAAACGGAGATGAGCACAGCCCCTTAGAATCAGGAATGACTAGCACATATGTACGAGGGGAACCTTTACCTTTACTAAATGACTGCATCCTTTTTGAAGGAAAAATACATCTCCCTAGGAGAAGCTCTGAGTGAAGGTGACAGGCCTTAGTTCTCTTGTATCAAGTAACCCATAATTGAATATTGTCTGTATGACTGAAAAAGCAGATGGTGGCAGGGTGCTTCTGAAATAGGCTGAGACAGAAATCTTCAGGGCTGAAGTTAAAGAATGCCAGCAGGAGGTGAGGGAAATACAGCAGCAATTGCCAAGCACAATGTGACGCTAGTTAGAGAATGTTATTTTTGTCTAGCGCTTGCTAAACAGATCGAGCCCCTATCAATTATCCTGTCACCTAAAATGCGAGGTTCTTCATCGAAACCTCTTGTCCTAGTATTATCTAATTAATTAAACATAATGTCAGAGTCCGGTGGTATTTCCAAAACAATCTCTCGCTTTGAGCTATCGGTCAGGAGAACCATCTCATTCATCCCTGTTTATGTATTTTTAAAATCAAAAGACAGGATACCAAAGCTTGCAAATGCAAGGAGAAGAAAAGGCCAACGGATCATTATAATGCTCCCAGGTGAAGCGTGTGTAATAATGACCTGCCCAGGTTCATACACCATAAACATAATAACTCCCTAGTTGAACGTGTATATTAAAGATTGGTGCAACAAAGCAGATTCCCTACTACACACATCTCTAGTGAAGAAGCCACATTAAATTTGGGGGAGGAGGAAAAGGGTGAGCCTGTTAAGGTCCTTAGTCCTCCTCCAAGTTCAAAACATTCTTAAAGATCCATCTCATCCTGGGCACCCTTTTTTTGAACTATTACCATCTGGCAGACGGTACAGGATAATAAAAACAAGGACAAATAGGCTGAAAAGCAGCTTCTATCTCAGAGCAGTAACTATATTGAATTCTACTGTATAGTGCAATATTAATGCAATATCAGGGGTTTTCAATTCAATTGTGTAGAATGTGAAGGACATGTGTTTGTGTTTTATTTTTATAGTTATAATGTACACTGAAGATGGCATTTAATTTCATTGTACGAGGTGCAATGACAATAAAGTAAATTAAATAAACTCCAGAATTACAATTCTATTTTTTTTTTCAATATCTGGGAGTGAATTCAATTAAATCAAACAGTGCTCCTTCTGTAATATTGCACTGTAAGCATGTGTAAGCTGAGATTCAGCTCTTGTTATTCTGCCTTCCCCTTGCACTTTCTACTTCTTCTTTGGTCCCTATAACTTTCTCAACTTTTTGTTGTTGAGTAGCCTGCCAGGAACCACACCTTACAAAATATCTAAGGAGCCAGAACAATTGGCCAAATCGGGACAAAAATTACCGTAACTAACAGGGAATTTAAAAGAATAATCATGTTACTCCCAGTATAATGTTAACATTGTTCTCTTGTATGGCATTAAGCCTTTACAAGTCAGTACATTTTCTAGAATGGCTTTACTGCATGCAGCTTGAGGGCCTCAACTCATACATGACTGTTCCAGGGATGAAAATTAGTTTTTGGGCTCGAAAACGAGCCTGGTGTTGTCAAAATAAACAGGCAAACCCATCACCCAACTATTTCTCATTCAATATCTGCCAGTGATGTCATAGCTAGAAGAGAGGCCACAGAGGTGACGTCCTGGGAAAAAAGCCAAGCTCTCCTGCATATTGAATGCTGCAAGAAACAGAATGAAATTACATCCAAGGGCAACAACGCAAGAAAAAAAGCCAAACCATTTGCTAAACCTTGTTTGGTTTGAACAATTACTCCTTTGAATCATAAAGCCATTCTGAAAAGACAAAATCGGGAAAGAAAAAGGCTATCGGTTGCAATCAGCTAAAGTTCCTTTTATGTTTCAAAAAAAAATTATGCCGTTCAAAGATATCTGCCGCCTCACTCCCGAGTTGAAATTCCAGTTTCAGATTCCTGAATAACCGTTACCCAATTATCTTAGTAAAGAATTGTTTTTGAAATTGTCCTGACCTACAGGTGGAGCTAACAAACAGAACTGGGCAGCCAAAATCTGCAAGGTGACTAACTGACAGCAAAGAAAAGCATCTGTCTTGTCTACTCTTTAGCAGTTATCTGGATTTCTGCAGTTCAGAACAAAGAGCTTTAGGTATTGGAAGCAACGTTTAGGAGGGAAGAATCCTTAGCACCCCTCAAGACTTTGAGGTACACCTAGATTACCTCTTTGGATTTAAGCCACATTCTTTTTGACGGCACATTCGTAACAAGGAATGACGTTCGTACCTGAATGCTGATACTCTGTGATTCGATAAAAGGCAGAGTGATGTTCTTATAATCCTCTCCCATCTCCTGGATGAGATACACTGACCGAGACAGGTATTTTTGAAGATGTTTTTCAGTTGCTGGGTACACCACTGTAGTTTTTATCTCTGGAAATGTAAGCAGAATGTCATTATCAGAGAAAATGGGAGTCTAAACCAATCCTTTCTCGGTCTTGATGATTTCCAGGAACGGCTCATGATAGTCATAGATAGAAAGTTCATTGCATATTTTATGTGAGCATTACCTAAACTTACTTCTCATCAGCTTTCATGATCACAAAGGACTCAACAAGTTATTAAGCATATCAAACAATGAGCAGTAAAAAGCCACCGCCCCCCCAAAAAACCTAACAATCTTCCCATCTATACAAACAAACAAACAAACAAACAAACAAACAAACAAACAAACAAAACCTTTCGGATGGAATAACTGGATAATACAAATTGTCCCTGACCTACGACCACAATTGAGCGCAAAATTTCCAGTTGCTAAGTCAGATAGTTATTAAGGGAGTTAGGTTCCATTTTACAATCTTTTTTTACCACAGTTGTTAAGTGAATCACTGCAGTTATGTGAATCAAGTGGTTGTTAAGTGAAATCTGGCTTCCCCATTGATTTTGCTTGTTGGAAGCCAGCTGGGAAGATCACATGACTCCAGGACACTGCAAAGTACAGGCCAAGCCCCTGAATTTTGATCACGTGACCAGAGGGATGATGCAACAGTCGTAAGTGTAAGCTACTTTTTTCAATGCAGTTGTAACTTTGAACAATCACTAAACGAATGGCTGTAAGTCAAGAACTAAACTATTGGTTGACTTTGGTCAACAGCACAGCAGAGAAATGATAGAAAGTCCAAGGCATTTGGGGGATGGGGTTGTCCCTCTTTGTGCATATACACAAATACTTACACATGTTAAACAGTAATTAGGAAAGCACAAATACCAGCAGTTAAGTCAGCAGTGGGGACGATTGGGGGGACGGGTGTAATGGGTCTCGTGGGAAAGCAGGTGGGAAGTCAGCAATTGACTGTAAAAATACGATATCCAAAAGAAAGTTTTCTTCCTCCCAGAGGCCAAGGAATACCAGCCATTCAAAACAATTTTTTGCAAATCGCCCTAAGAAAAATATGGGTGGGAAGGGAGCAACCTCATTGTCTTATGTAACCGTTTATTTTTCAGGGGCAATTACCAAAGTGGAACAAGATCTAGAATTATCAATGCCTTCCAAGAACTAAGCTCTCAAGTATGAGCCAGGACTTTAAAAAAAACAATAATCTATCCATAAGATGCCAAACTGAGTCCCTGATGGCCTGGGAGATCGATATATGTAGCAGGTGTCCAGGCTGGATTTACAAAACCTTCATCTTTTGTTTTGTTTCTGCTGGACTCTGTTCCTGCGATGAAGTTTTCTTGGTGGAGGCCCAAAACCAGCACTGCCGAAGCAAACAGCTCGTTGTAATGGAGAGGAGATTAACTATAACAGCAGACTGGCTCGGACCTCTCCTTACTCCAGGAAAGAGGAAATTGTTGCCATATTGCAAAGCGAAGTTAAAATAAGATAATTCGTAGTGACCCCTTGATGCGTTTCACAGATGGATGGGACACACACTAAATCAACTCTGCTGTCAAGAAAAGAAACACAGATTTGCCTGTATTATCCAGGAACTCCCGAATGAATCCACTCTTGCGGTAATTTTATTACTTTATGACTTTTCTAAGAAGCTTCCACTCTTGTTTTTCTAAAGATTTCTTTCTCTCTTTTTTTTTTCTAAGTTAGGGTCAAGCATGGAATGAGATTGAGCACCATTGGCTAATTAAATTTGTCCTTTAGAGGCATTTCCTCCAAAAAAACCAAATATGTGCTATTGTATGTAAACATGTTGATCCCTACTCAAGAAATGCCACGCAAAGGAGTAAGGTTGGGTTTTTCATTAGAAACCCATGATGGGAGAGGAAAGGGGGTTGTCCACTTTAATCACCACGATATAAAAAAAGATGTTGAGACTCTAGAAAGAATGCAGAGAATAGGAACAAAGTTGATTAGGGGGCTGGAGGCTAAAACAAATAAAGAACAGTTGCTGGAATTTGGTATGTCTAGTTTAATGAAAAGAAGGATTAGGGGAGACATAGCAGTGCTCCAATATCTCAGAGGCTGCCTCAAAGAAGAGGGAGTCAAGCTATTCTCCAAAGTATCTGAGGGCAGGACAAGAAGCAATGGGTGGAAACTAATCAAGGAGAGAAGCAACCTAGAACTAAAGAGAAATTTCCTGACAGTTAGAACAATTAATCAGTGGAACGACTTGGCTCCAGAAGTTGTGAATGCTCCAACACTGGAAGTTTTTAAGAAGAGATTGGATAATTATTTCTCTGAAATGGTATAGAGTTTCCTGCCTGAGCAGGGGGTTGGACTAGAAGACCTCTAAAGTCCCTTCCAACTCTGCTATTCTCTCTCTCCTTGATTAGTTTTGGCCTTCCAAGATGGCCAAGAAACATTGGACAATTAACTTCTTTCTTCAGCCTTCCATGCCAGAGACCATATTTGAGTTTAAGGCTGCAGCATCAGATTACAAATTTCATTTGAAAATCCTTGCTCTATTGCTCTCCCTTAGCTGCCAAACCTCTCGCTCAGGTTAAGTAAAAAGTCATCCTTGCATATCCTTTCATAATTGCAATAGTAAACATACACTGAGGCCTGTACTTTCTTTTATATGCACATAAAATACAAGAACACTAGAATAAGAAACACAGTGGCTGAATTCACACATTGCACTAAGCCACACAATGCCATGTTCAGCTCTGGTTTAGCATCAATGGTGAAATTCAAATTTTTTTACTACCTGTTCTGTGGGCATGGCTTGGTTGGCATGGTGTGGTGTGGCTTGGTCAGCGTGGCTTGGTGGGGGTGGCAGGGGAAGGATACTGCAAAATCTCCATTTCCACCCCGCCCTGGGACCAGCCAGAAATGGTTATTTGCCAGTTCTCCAAACTGCTCAAATTTTCCGCTACTGGTTCTCCAGAACCTGTCAGAACCTGCTGGATTTCACCCCTGCTTAGCATGTTGTGTAAACTTAACTGAGCTTCACTCCAGAAGGTGAACCAAACCTCAGTTGTATTTAAATGACTTCTAATCCAATTCAGAAATGCATCTCTTCAGCTGATTTAGCATGCCTGTAATCTCAAATAAGTAAGAAACCCAAGCAAGTAGAGATGAGGGCTTTCATAGGTAGTTCTCCATTTACGACTGGTCATTCAGCAACTATTCAGTGTTATGAGGGGACCTCCTTGGGCATACAGGTAGTCCTCAATTTACAACAGTTCATTTAGTGACCATTCAAAGTTACATCACTGAAAAAAGTGACTTATGACCATTTTCCAGTTGCAACCTTTGTAGCATCCCCATGATAACATGGTCAAAATTCAGATGCTTGGCAACCGGTTCGTACCTTTTGACAAGCAAAGCCAGTGGAGAGCCAGATTCACTTAACAATCATGTTGCTAATTTAACAACTGTAGTGATTTACATAACGACTGTGGCAAGAAAGGTGGTAAAATGGGGCAACACTTAACAAAGGTCTCACTTAACATCAGAAATGTTGGGCTCAATTGTGGTCGTAAGTCGAGGACTACCTGTATTTACAAGCCAGTTTCAAAGTTCCAACAGCAGCTCCCCGTAGTCATGTGACCATACATCAGTTGCTTGGCAACCAGTCTGCAATTACGGCCTTTTGCAATGTCCTGCAGTCATATGACCGCATTTTACAATGGCTTTACTTCCAGTTTTTGGCAAAACCAGCCAACAGTGAACCATTAACAACCACCTAACAATCACTGCCAAAAAGGTCCTAACATTAGGTCAGTCACATGGGTGAGCTGATTTACAACGGTCATGACTTATGACCACGATTAACAGGCTCCCTTATGGTCATAAATTGAGGACTATCTGTAATGCTGTTTTCTCCATTTCACCTCAAAAAACTAAAGACTTGAGTTTTCCAGGCTGTCTTCCGTACTTAGATTCTTCAGTAGTTAAGTCTTCAACTAAGATTGCAATGTTTTCACATTTTAAAATTTTGCCCTTCATCGATGAAGACGAGACTCTCAAGCCTAGGTCAGCAAAACTAGAATATTCAGAATCCTTACTTGCTCTTTTTTTACTCTCAACTTTCCACACAATATATACCTTTTATGATGCTCATTTACTTCTGATGCAATTCAGATTCACCACCTACCTCTCCCTTTGCAGTTCGCTCTGAAGATTCTCCCCCCCCCCCCCGCCCCCAATAGCTTGCTTTTTCGTTTAATGGACTTCAGAAGGTTGCCTTGTGCTTAATGAAACACAGCTAATATTCCCAGCTCACAAACTACCAGGCTTACTTGAGTCAATCCCTACATAAATCATTGGATGTCTTAACTTCCACAGCTGTGTGCTATTAGAATCAGATGGAGACTGAAACCACAATTGCACATCTAAGAGAAAGAGTTTTGCTGAGTGTGGGAAAAAAAGGGGATGTAAGGAAGTCAAGCTGTTCCTTGACATACTACAATTGGGCTCATAAGCGTGCAAAGGCATGGTTCACCATGGTTTATACTTCCAAGCAAAGCTGGCTTGCTTCATAAAATACAGTAAATATAAGCCATAGGTTGTTATTCAGCCATTGGCTGAGTTTAGACAATGCCCTAAGCCACAACCACAAAAATCACATTATAGTTTGGCATACCGCGTGAATTCAGCCCAATTTGACTTTCCAACACAGAACAAGGAAGGCTACACGAAGCACTAGGATAGATGTAGCAATTACATTATATGTAGTAATATCGCTGGACTTCTCTGCAAGAATCTGTTTGCCATCATGGAAACAGAGCATAGGACCTAAAAGGCTGCTTGGATATATCCAGAGATTTCCACGTCTGTGATAGTTATTGGAAGATGCCATCTTTCCTTCAAGTTGGGTTAACCCATATTTTGCTGAATAAGCAACAACTGCCAGGCTCAGTACTTTGGTTAAGAACTCAGCCACTATGGTTGATGATTCACATAACTGGGTATAAAGCCAGATATTATGGCTTGTTCAGCAAACCACAGCTATAGCACAAATCTAGATTAGCGT